GAAAAAGCAAGAGGGTTCCAGAAAAACATCTATTTCTGCTTTATTGACTATGCCAAAGCTTTTGACTGTGTGGATCACAATAAACTGTGGAAAATTCTGAAAGAGATGGGAACACCAGACCACCTGACCTGCCTCTTGAGAAACCTGTATGCAGGTCAGGAAGCAACAGTTAGAACTGGACATGGAACAACAGACTGGTTCCACATAGGAAAAGGAGTACGTCAAGGCTGTATATTGTCACCCTGCTTATTTAACTTATATACACAGTACATCATGAGAAACACTGGGCTGGAAGAAGCACAAGCTGGAATCAAGATTCCCAGGAGAAATATCAATAACCTCAGATATGCAGATGATACCACCTTTATAGCAGAGAGTGAAGAGGAACTGAAAAGCCTCTTGATGAAAGTGAAAGAGGAGAGTGAAAAAGTTGGCTTAAAGCTTAACATTCAGAAAACTAAGATCATGGCATCTGGTTCCATCACCTCATGTGAAATAGATGGGGAGACAGTAGAAACTGTCAGACTTTATTTTGGGGGGCTCCAAAATCACTGCAGATGGTGACTGCAGCCAAGAAATTAAAAGACGCTTACTCCTTGGAAGGAAAGTTATGACCAACCTAAATAGCATATTAAAAAGCAGAGACATTACTTTGCCAACAAGGGTCCGTCTGGTCAAGGCTATGGTTTTTCCAGTGGTCATGTATGGATGTGAGAGTTGGACTGTTAGGAAAGCTGAGCGCCGAAAAATTGATGCTTCTGAACTGTAGTGTTGGAGAAGACTCTTGAGGGTCCCTTGGACTGCAAGGAGATCCAATCAGTCCATCCTAAAGGAGATCAGTACTGGATGTTCATTGGAAGGACTGATGCTGAAGCTGAAACTCCAATACTTTGGCCACCTCATGCGAAGAGCTGACTCATTGGAAAAGACCCTGATGCTGGGAGGGATTGGGGGCAGAAGGGGATGACAGAGGATGAGATGGCTGGATGGCATCACCGACTCGATAGGCATGAGTTTGAGTAAGCTCCGGGAGTTGGTGATGGACAGGGAGGCCTGGCGTGCTGCGATTCACGGGGTCGCAAAGAGTCGGACACGACTGAGCGACTGAACTGAACTCAACTGACATGCCAGGGGGCACTGTTCTGGGCACCATGGGGTTCAGCAGAGAACAGAGACTAAAATCCCTACCCCCAGGGAGTTTACAGTCTAAGTGGGAAGGTAATTAACACAGTAAATACTTTCTGTGGTTAGAATGTGATGTGTGCTGTGCAGAAAAAGCAAAGAAAAGCAATAAGGAAGATACTGTAGGGAAAACACAGAGAGGGTGTGTGGTTTTATTCTTTTCAGCTGCTGCAAAAAGCCTTATTGTTTTGTAGTTTTAAATAGGGTAGAAAAAAAGGCATTACCAAGCAGCCAAGCAGCTGACATTTGAGCAAATGGGTGGTGGTTAGAAAACAAATCATACACATAGATGGGGAAACAGCGCTCTAAACAGAGGAGACAGCATCTACAAAGGACCCGAGGCAGGCGAATGCCTGGTGCATTCCAGATACAGCTGGGAGGGTGGTGTGGCTGGAGTGTGGTGAGGAGGAGAGCAGAGAGCTGGGAGAGGTCAGGGGTGAGAAGATAATGTCAGGCCTTGGGAGTCATTGTAAAGACTTTAACGAAATAGAACCCAAGGAGAGTTTTGAGCAGGTGACTGACACGGCTGCAGGAGTACTGTGGCTGCTGATCCAGGAGAACCCAGAAAGGGACAAGGGTGGATACACAGAGATTGGTAAAGCATCAGCCACAATAATCGAGGGAAATGACAGTGGCAGTGGTGGGAGAGGATAAGAAGTCGTCCGGCCCCAAATGCATTTTAGAAGGAGAGTCAATGGGACTTACTGACAGTCTGGATGCGAGATGTGAGAAAGGAGAGTCAGGGATGATGCCCATGATTTGCAGCCTGAAGAACCAGAAGGATGGAGTTGCCGTCAAGTGAGAAGGAGAAAGCTGAGGGTAGAGCAGATTTTTGGGGGGGAGAAGATGAAGAATTTGGTCTCAGACACGTCAAGGTTGAGATGCCTATAACCTCGAAGAGAAGTTACTGAAGTTGAACCTTGGGGCTTCCCACCCAGGTGCTCCAGTGGTTAAGAATCTGTCTGCCAGTGCAGGGGACATGGGTTTGATCCCTGGTCCGAAAAGATCCCACATGCTGAGGAACAACTAAGTCTAAGTGCCACAACTAATGGGCCTACGCTCTAGAGCCTGCAGCCACAACTACTGAAGCCTAGAGCCTATGGTCCGCGAAAACAGAGGCCACCACAAGGAGAAGCCCGAGCACCACAATGAAGAGTCGCCCTGGCTTGCTGCAACTAGAGAAAGCCTGTGCACAGCAACAAAGACCCAGCACAGCCAAAAATAAATACATAAAAAAGAAGTGGGGTCTGAGTTTGGAGTTTAGTGGAGATAACTGGTCCAGAGGTAGAAATCTGAGACACACCAGCTTAATAGATGGCAATAGAAGCCATGAGACTGGCTGAAATCACCAAGGGAGTAAATGGAGCTAGAGAGAAGACGTCTAAGGACTAGGCCTGGGAGTGAGGAGGAACCAGCTGAGACTGAGGCCCTATGAGACCAGTATGATCTAGCCCCTGCCTCCCTTGACAGCTGCATCTCAGTCTCCCTCTTGATTACGCTGGTCTTTCAGCAAATTCTGAGATGCCAAGCCCGTCCCTACTCCAGGATATTTGCATCTGCTTTCCTTCAGTCCTGAAGGACCTGACTCAGACCCCAAGTCTGCCCCACAGCTGGTTCCTTGTCCTTCAAATCTTAGCTTAAGTGTCACCTTCACAGAGGGCCTCTTTCCTCCACCAGCACCTTACACATTCATTCTATTTCAGCACCCTACTGATGTCCCTCACAGAACTTTTTACAACTGGCTGCCACAGTTAGTCTAACTAACCACAGTTAGTCCTGCTTTTCCTCTCTCTCCTTCCGATGCTCCATCACAGTTCCCTTGGCCAGTCTTCTCCTCTCCTCACTTCTTAATATTGGGGCTCCCCAGGGTGTCTGTCAACAATCCCTCCTCTGGCTCTCACCCTGTCGTACGACTTAATCTATGTGTAAAGACTCTCAAAAGTCTCTACCTCCAGGTCAGACCTCTCCTCTGAACTTGGACTCAAATCCAACCATCAATTTGACAGCTCCACATGGAGACCTGATATATTAAGATGGCCAAAGTCAATGTCTCCATTTTCTCTCCACAAACCTATTTACAACCATCTCTCCCTCACTCCACATCAACTTCACTATTTCAGTTGCTCAGGCCAAAACCTTAGAGTTATGTTTGTTTGGATAGTTTTTTTTTTAAGAATTATATTTAATTCCTGTTCCTCTCCTGCCTCACGTCCCATCTATCAGCAAACGGTGCCTACCTTCAAGATATATTCAGAATCTAACTACTTCTTCCGTTTCCACTAATCCCAGCCTGATTCAAGCCACCAGACATCTCTTGCCTCTTTTACTTGACAGACTCCTTCTGGGTGTTCTCGCTTCTCCCCTCGCCCTCTTTTATCTATTCTCAGTAACTTAGCCAGAGTGATTCTTTCAAAACACTAAGGCCTATGTCATCTTTGTGCCACACTGCCTTGCCCAAACATACTTCTTTTACTTCACCTCCTTTTACTGTCTCCTTCATGCACACCCTGGACTCCATGATGTTCCTCCAACATTTTCAGGGACACTCCGGCCTTAAGGCCTTTGGCAGTTGCTGTTCCAACATACTCTTCCTCCAGATAACTGCTCAGCCAATTTCCTCACCTGTCACCTCCTACAGTCTTTGCTCAAGTGCTACCTTCTTCCAGATACCTAAACAGCCAACTCCCTCACCTCCCTCTCACAATCTCTGATCACATGTTACCTTTCTGTTTTTTTCTTTTTGACTGTGCTAAGGGGTCTGTGGGATCTTAGTTCTCCAACCTGGGGTAGAACCTGGGCCTCCTACATTGAAAGCATGGAGTGAACCTCTGAACCACCAGGGAAGTCCCTCGTGTTACCTTTTTTATGAGGCCTACCCTGATCAAACTAATTAAAATTAGTTTGTGTCCTCCTTCCTTGTTCTACTTAATTTTTTTTCCCCTATAGTACTGTTCATCTTCTCATGTACTGTAACCAAGGCAGAAATTCATCGTGGCTTACCAGGAACTCCCTGGTTTCCTAAAGCCCCACATCTTGGAAACACTCTCAGTGCTGAGCAAACCAGGATGTTGGCCATCCTAACCATAATTTACTATTTTTATTTTCTATCTCTCCTCATGATACATAAAATCACTTCCAGAAGGGCAGGGACTTGACTGTTGTGTTCAGGTAGAACAGAACCTGGCACATAATAGGTGCTCAATAAAAAGGGCTTAAACACCTGCCCATCAGCACTTTAATCAGCCTGCTGCAAGGGGTCACCTAGCAAACTAGCTAAAAGTAATTAGGTGTATAATCTGAGCTCTTCAAATTTAATTCCACTAAAATTTGACACTGTGGCATTATAAAGGTTTCCCAGGTGGCACTAGTGGTAAAGAACCAGCTTGCCAATACTCAAGTAAGAGAAGCGATTCGATCCCTGGGTCAGGAAGATCCCCTAGAGGAGGGGAGACCAACCCACTCCAGCATTCTTGACTGGAAAATTCCACGGACAAAGGAGCCTGGTGGGCTACAGTCCATAGGGTCGAAAAGAGTCAGTGACTTAGCACCCACACACATGGCATGATAAGGTATGAAGAATGAGAGGAAATTAGATATCAAAAATTTCCATATATACCGTATATATGAGTTATTCCTAACATCCATAAGCCAAGCCAAAAATGTTATCCCCCAAATCCACATGGCCCAAACATTATAGATATCACACAAGACGGCCTAATTCAGAAAATAACCTTTGACATTACTTCGAGAGCCCTATAATTCCTAAGCAAACTGTAGTTTCCATGCAACTAAGACTTGCAGCAAATAGGCCAACTTACCTCCTGTGTAGAGAAAGGAACCAGACAGGCCTCCGAAGTAAATGAGAGCTAAGTGCTCCAGTTTCAGAGGGGACAGACAGTAGAGGCAAGCGGCACAGACACAGCCCAAGGTGTAGAGGAAGACTCCAAACCGAACGACATCCTGGGGCTCCAAGATTCGGTCCACCAGGGTCCTGTCATCACTCTTTTTGTGATCAATGCCCTTGGAAAAGTCGTAATAAGTGTTGACCAAATTGCCAGCCCCGTGCACCGCGAGGACAGCTATGGCACAACCCACCAACAGCCTGGGATCCAGGACGCCTTGGGATCTGTATGCCAGCGCACTGCCCAGGGCCACCGGGGTGAGTGAGGCGCTGAAGCTCCAGGGCCGCAGGGCCAGGACATAGGAGGCGCACTTCTGCCGCCACGAGCGCTGCGGAAGTCTGTCTTGCTGAGGACAGCCGTTCCCCAGCAGGTCCCTGTCCTCGACCTTGGCGGTCTCTCCTGCGTAGATGTTAATCTTCTCCGCCATGGAGGCTGCACGTGTGTTAAGTCAGTGGTAGTGAGCCACCCACTGCGCAGCGTCCGCGCTAGGGCGAGGACGGGTGGGGCGGGGCGACGGACCTGACCTTCTTCGGTTCCACCACCGACAGGGATGAGGAGGCGGCGGGGCCCGGGGGCTGCAGCGAGCGGGCCTGGCACCCCAGGAGGCCCCGCAGCACCGCCCCGACCTCCTGTTACCAGTGTAAGCCTGCTGCCAGACCCCAGCCCCGCCCGCCCTAGAGCCCGAACACGAGCCGCGACCGCCACCCCGGGGCTACCAGGGCCGCCGGGGCCGCCATCTTGTGCGTCCACCACCTCTAGCCCTCCGGGAAACACCGGCCGGCAGCGAGGCCCTGGGCCTGGGCCAGGGCCGAGGCGGGGCTAGGGGCGGGGACGGGGCGTGGAGGTGGGCGGGGCCAGAGGTCTAGGGGCGGGGACGGGGCGTGGAGATGGGCGGGGCCAGAGGTCTAGGGGCGGGGCCGATGCAAGGTTGCGACCCAGCAGCCCCGCCCTTCTCTTGCCCAAGGTCAGGACGCTCAGTTGCTTTCACTCTTGTTGAAAACAGCCTAACGAACGACCGCAAATACATGTCGCTTTACGACTTACCAAGAGCTTTCACTCACGGAAATAGAACTCATTCTGTTTTTCGTTCAGTTCAGTTCAGTTCAGTCACTCAGTCGTGTCCGACTCTGCGACCCCATGAACACAGCACGCCAGGCCTCCCTGCCCATCACCAACTCCAGGAGTCCACACAAACCCATGTCCATTCAGTCGGTGATGCCATTCAACCACCTCATCCTCTGTTGTCCCCTTCTCCTGCCCCCAATCCCTCCCAGCATCAGGGTCGTTTTCAGTGAGTCAGCTCTTGGCCATCAGGTGGCCAAAGGATTGGAGTTTCAGCTTCAGCATCAGTCCTTCCAATGAACACCCAGGACTGATCTCCTTTAGGATGGACTGGTTGGATCTCCTTGCAGTCCAAGGGACTCTCAAGAGTCTTCTCCAACACCATAGTTCAAAAGCATCAATTTTTCGGCGCTCAGCATTCTTCACAGTCCAACTCTCACATCCATACATGACCACTGGAAAAACCATAGCCTTGACCAGACGGACCTTTGTTGGCAAAGTAATGTCTCTGCTTTTTAATATGCTATTTAGGTTGGTCATAACTTTCCTTCCAAGGAGTAAGCGTCTTTTAATTTCATGGCTGTGATCACCATCTGCAGTGATTTTGGAGACCAGAAGAATAAAGTTAGCCACTGTTTCCACTGTTTCCCCATCTATTTGCCACGAAGTGATGAGACTGGATGCCATGATCTTAGTTTTCTGAATGTTAAGCTTTAAGCCAACTTTTTCACTCTCCTCTTTCATCAAGAGGCTCTTTAGTTCCTCTTCACTTTCTGCCATAAGGGTGGTGTCATCTGCATATCTGAGGTTATTGATATTTCTCCTGGGAATCTTGATTCCAGCTTGTGCTTCCTCCAGCCCAGAGTTTCTCATGATGTACTCTGTATATAAGTTAAATAAGCAGGGTGACAATATACAGCCTTGATGTACTCATTTTCCTATGTGGAACCAGTCTGTTGTTCCATGTCCAGTTCTAACTGTTGCTTCCTGACCTGCATACAGGTTTCTCAAGAGGCAGGTCAGGTGGTCTGGTGTTCCCATCTCTTTCAGAATTTTTCACAGTTTATTGTGATCCACACAGTCAAAGGCTTTGGCATAGTCAATAAAGCAGAAATAGATGTTTTTCTGGAACCCTCTTGCTTTTTCGATGACCCAGCGGATGTTGGCAATTTGATCTGTGTTTCCTCTGCCTTTTATAAAATCAGCTTGAACATCTGGAAGTTCACGGTTCATGTATTGCTGAAGCCTGCCTTGGAGAATTCTGAGCATTACTTTAGAAGCGTGTGAGATGAGTGCAATTGTGCAGTAGTCTGAGCATTTTTGGCATTGCCTTTCTTTGGGATTGGAATGAAAACTGACCTTTTCCAGTCCTGTGGCCACTGCTGAGTTTTCCAAATTTGCTGGCATATTGAGTGCAGCACTTTCACAGCATCATCTTTCAAGATTTGAAATAGCTCAACTGGAATTCCATCACCTCCACTATCTTTTTCCTAATGATGCTTCCTAAGGCCCCCTTGACTTCACATTCCAGGATGTCTGGCTCTAGGTGAGTGATCACACCATCATGATTATCTGGGTCGTGAAGATCATTTTTGTACAGTTCTTCTGTGTATTCTTGCCATCTCTTCTTAATATCATCTGCTTCTGTTAGGTCCCTACCATTTCTGTCCTTTATTGAGCCCATCTTTTCATAAAATGTTCCCTTGGCATCTCTAATTTTCTTGAAGAGATCTCTAGTCCTTTCCCACTCTATTGTTTTCCTCTATTTCTCAAACATTAATTGAGCCCCCACTCTGTGCAGCAAGATTTATTGAACACCTACTACATGCAGCAGTGAACAAAATGGACAAAACCAGGGAGCACATTGAGGGTGATAAGGAAGGTACGATTATATCCCTTCCTTTTCAAGTGAAACTGAAGCTCTGAAATGGGAAATGCTGTCTAAGAAATTATTAGCTTTGCCAAGACAGGAAGGCAAACTGGAAGTCCATCCATAGATGAATGGATAATTCAGTTCAGTTCAGTTGCTCACTCATGTCCGGCCCTTTGCAACCCCATTGACTGCAGCATGCCAGGCTTCCCTGTCCATCACCAACTCCCGGAGCTTACTCAAACTCATGTCCATTGAGTCAGTGATGCCATCCAACCATCTCATCCTTTGTCATCCCCTTCTCCTGCCTTCAGTCTTTCCCAGCATCAGGGTCTTTTCAAATGAGCCAGTTCTTCACATCAGGTGGCCAAAAGATTGGAGTTTCAGCTTCAGCATCAGTCCTTCCAATGAATATTCAGGACTGATTTCCTTTAGGATGGACTGGTTGGATCTCTTTGCAGTCCAAGGGACTCACAAGAGTCTTCTCCAAGACCATAGTTCAAAAGCATCAATTCTTCAGTGCTCAGCTTTCTTTATAATCCAACTCTCACATCCATACATGACTACTGGAAAAACCATAGCTTTGTCTAGATGGACTTTTGTTAGCAAAGTAATGTCTCTGCTTTTTAATATGCTCTCTAGATTGTCATAGCTTTTCTTCCAAGGAGCAAGCATCTTTTAACTTCATGGCTGCTGTCACCATCTGCAGTGATTTTGGAGCCCAAAGAAATAAAGTTTCTCACTGTTTCCATTATTTCCCCATCTATTTGCCATGATGTGATGGGACCAGATGCCATGATCTTAGTTTTCTGAATGCTGAGTTTTAAGCCAACTTTTTCACTCTCCTCTTTCGCTTGCATCAAGAGGCTCTTTAGTTCTCCACTTTCTGCCATAAGAGTGCTGTCATCTGCCTATCTGAGGTTTTTGATACTTCTCCCAGCCATCTTGATTCCAGCTTGTGCTTCATTCAGTCTGGCATTTTGCATGATGTACTCTGCATATAAGTTAAATAAGCAGAGTGACAATATACAGCCTTGACGTACTCCTTTTCCTATTTGGTACCAGTCTGTTGCTCCATGTCCAGTTCTAACTGTTGCTTCTTAATCTATATATAGATTTCTCAGGAGGCAGGTCAGGTGGTCTAGTATTCCCATCTCCTTAAGAATTTTCCACAGTTTGTTGTGATCTACACAGTCAAAGGCTTTGGCATAGTCAATAAGGCAGAAGTAGATGTTTTTCTGGAACTCTCGTGCTATTTTGATGATCCAACGGATGGTGGCAATTTGAATGGATAAAGATATACCTAAAATGGAATATTGTGTGTTGGCATTCATTGAATGGATAAAGATACATCTAAAATGGATATTGTGCCCATATGTGCACAGTTGCTCAGTCATGTCTGAGTCTCTGTGACCCCCTGGAATGTAGCCCACCAGGCTTTCTGTCTGTAGGATTTCCCAGGTAAGAATACTGGAGGGGCTCTCGGCCTTAGCGCCATCTTTTGAGAAACCTCTGCGCCATGAGAGCGAAGTGGAGGAAGAAGCGAATGTGCAGGCTGAAGCGCAAAAGAAGAAAGATGAGGCAGAGGTCCAAGTAAACTTGTACACCCATGGAAGCCACAGAAGCAGAAACAAGGGAAGCCAGAGGCCAGCGATGCTGGTACAAATTGTGGACTGCACGCCTACCATCTAGAACTTCTCAATGGATCTGGAACATCTATGGCCATTCTGATCGTCTTGACCACCTTTGAGAGACCTACCTTGCTCGTATCAAAGCCATCCCTTTTGGTCCTTTGCCCTGGACCTGTGATAACTATGGACTAGTTCTCTTTTCAGTTGTGGCTGAATGTAACGTGTACAATAAATCATCTCTTTTGCTGTCTTAGCTGAAGAAAAAAAAAAAAAGAATACTGGAGGGGTTGCCATTTCCTCCTCCAGGGGATCTTCTCAACCCAGGGATCTCTTGCATCTTCTGAATTGGCAGGCAGATTCTTTACCACAGGGCCACTTTGGAAGCCCCAAAATGGACTGTTAATGAGCCATAAAAAAGAATGAAATATTGTCATTTGCAGCAATAAGGATGGACCTAGACATTATCATACTAAGTGAAGTAAGTCAAAGACAAATGTTATGTGATATCATATATGAGAGTCCCTTGGACAGTAAGGAGATCAAACCGGTCAATCCTAAAGGAAATCAACCCTGAATATTCATTGGAAGGATTGATGTTGAAGCTCCAATACTTTGGCCACTTGATGCAAAGAGCTGATTCATTGGAAAAGACCCTGATTCTGGAAAAGATTGAGGGCAGGTGGAGTAGGGGGTAACAGAGGGTGAAATATGGTTGGATGGTATCACCAACTCAACGCACATGAGTTTGAGCAAACTCCAGGAGATAGTGAAAGACTGGGAAGCCAAACAGTCTGACATGACTTAGCAACCGAACACAAACCCAGTATCCTGGATTTCTGGCAGAGGATGAGCTGGTTGGATGAC